AACGACAGTGGTACCCCTTACGTTTTTTTTTTTTTCGGGGCGAAAAATATTTTTTCTCAATCTTCTCAAAACTCTGGATTCTGATAGAGGCCATGAGACTTAAACCTGAGTGCAAAAATGGAGGCTCTAGACCCTTCCAGAGCTGAGATATCGAAACTCAAAATTCGACCCGAAAAAAAAACGACAGTGGTACCCCTTACGTTTTTTTTTTGGGCGAAAAATTAAGTTTCTCCAATCTTCTCAAAACTCTGGATTCTGATAGAGGGCCATGAGACTTAAACCTGAGTGCAAAAATGGAGGCTCTAGACCCTTCCAGAGCTGAGATATCGAAACTCAAAAATTCGACCCGAAAAAAAAACGACAGTGGTACCCCTTACGTTTTTTTTTTTTGGGCGAAAAATTAAGTTTCTCCAATCTTCTCAAAACTCTGGATTCTGATAGAGGGCCATGAGACTTAAACCTGAGTGCAAAAATGGAGGCTCTAGACCCTTCCAGAGCTGAGATATCGAAACTCAAAAATTTCGACCCGAAAAAAAACGACAGTGGTACCCCTTTCGTTTTTTTTTTTTGGGCGAAAAATTAAGTTTCTCCAATCTTCTCAAAACTCTGGATTCTGATAGAGGGCCATGAGACTTAAACCTGAGTGCAAAAATGGAGGCTCTAGACCCTTCCAGAGCTGAGATATCGAAACTCAAAATTTCGACCCAAAAAAAAAACGACAGTGGTACCCCTTACGTTTTTTTTTTTGGGGCGAAAAATTAAGTTTCTCCAATCTTCTCAAAACTCTGGATTCTGATAGAGGGCCATGAGACTTAAACCTGAGTGCAAAAATGGAGGCTCTAGACCTTCCAGAGCTGAGATATCGAAACTCAAAAATTCGACCCGAAAAAAAAACGACAGTGGTACCCCTTTCGTTTTTTTTTTTTCGGGCGAAAAATTAAGTTTCTCCAATCTTCTCAAAACTCTGGATTCTGATAGAGGGCCATGAGACTTAAACCTGAGTGCAAAAATGGAGGCTCTAGACCCTTCCAGAGCTGAGATATCGAAACTCAAAAATTCGACCCGAAAAAAAAAACGACAGTGGTACCCTTTACGTTTTTTTTTTGGGCGAAAAATAAAGTTTCTCCAATCTTCTCAAAACTCTGGATTCTGATAGAGGGCCATGAGACTTAAACCTGAGTGCAAAAATGGAGGCTCTAGACCCTTCCAGAGCTGAGATATCGAAACTCAAAATTCGACCCGAAAAAAAAAACGACAGTGGTACCCCTTACGTTTTTTTTTTTGGGCGAAAAATTAAGTTTCTCCAATCTTCTCAAAACTCTGGATTCTGATAGAGGGCCATGAGACTTAAACCTGAGTGCAAAAATGGAGGCTCTAGACCCTTCCAGAGCTGAGATATCGAAACTCAAAAATTCGACCCGAAAAAAAAAACGACAGTGGTACCCCTTCGTTTTTTTTTTTTTGGGCGAAAAATAAGTTTCTCCAATCTTCTCAAAACTCTGGATTCTGATAGAGGGCCATGAGACTTAAACCTGAGTGCAAAAATGGAGGCTCTAGACCCTTCCAGAGCTGAGATATCGAAACTCAAAAATTCGACCCGAAAAAAAAAACGACAGTGGTACCCCTTTCGTTTTTTTTTTTCGGGCGAAAAATTAAGTTTCTCCAATCTTCTCAAAACTCTGGATTCTGATAGAGGGCCATGAGACTTAAACCTGAGTGCAAAAATGGAGGCTCTAGACCCTTCCAGAGCTGAGATATCGAAACTCAAAAATTCGACCCGAAAAAAAACGACAGTGGTACCCCTTTCGTTTTTTTTTTTGGGCGAAAAATTAAGTTTCTCCAATCTTCTCAAAACTCTGGATTCTGATAGAGGGCCATGAGACTTAAACCTGAGTGCAAAAATGGAGGCTCTAGACCCTTCCAGAGCTGAGATATCGAAACTCAAAAATTCGACCCGAAAAAAAAAACGACAGTGGTACCCCTTACGTTTTTTTTTTTTGGGCGAAAAATTAAGTTTCTCCAATCTTCTCAAAACTCTGGATTCTGATAGAGGGCCATGAGACTTAAACCTGAGTGCAAAAATGGAGGCTCTAGACCCTTCCAGAGCTGAGATATCGAAACTCAAAAATTCGACCCGAAAAAAAAACGACAGTGGTACCCCTTTCGTTTTTTTTTTTGGGGGCGAAAAATGAAGTTTCTCCAATCTTCTCAAAACTCTGGATTCTGATAGAGGGCCATGAGACTTAAACCTGAGTGCAAAAATGGAGGCTCTAGACCCTTCCAGAGCTGAGATATCGAAACTCAAAAATTCGACCCGAAAAAAAAACGACAGTGGTACCCCTTTCGTTTTTTTTTGGGGGGCGAAAAATTAAGTTTCTCCAATCTTCTCAAAACTCTGGATTCTGATAGAGGGCCATGAGACTTAAACCTGAGTGCAAAAATGGAGGCTCTAGACCCTTCCAGAGCTGAGATATCGAAACTCAAAAATTCGACCCGAAAAAAAAACGACAGTGGTACCCTTTTCGTTTTTTTTTTTGGGCGAAAAATTAAGTTTCTCCAATCTTCTCAAAACTCTGGATTCTGATAGAGGGCCATGAGACTTAAACCTGAGTGCAAAAATGGAGGCTCTAGACCCTTCCAGAGCTGAGATATCGAAACTCAAAAATTCGACCCAAAAAAAAAAACAGTGGTACCCTTTCGTTTTTTTTTTTTGGGCGAAAAATGAAGTTTCTCCAATCTTCTCAAAACTCTGGATTCTGATAGAGGGCCATGAGACTTAAACCTGAGTGCAAAAATGGAGGCTCTAGACCCTTCCAGAGCTGAGATATCGAAACTCAAAAATTTCGACCCAAAAAAAAAACGACAGTGGTACCCCTTTTGTTTTTTGGGGGGCGAAAAATGAAGTTTCTCCAATCTTCTCAAAACTCTGGATTCTGATAGAGGGCCATGAGACTTAAACCTGAGTGCAAAAATGGAGGCTCTAGACCCTTCCAGAGCTGAGATATCGAAACTCAAAAATTCGACCCGAAAAAAAAAACGACAGTGGTACCCCTTTCGTTTTTTTTGGGGGGCGAAAAATTAAGTTTCTCCAATCTTCTCAAAACTCTGGATTCTGATAGAGGGCCATGAGACTTAAACCTGAGTGCAAAAATGGAGGCTCTAGACCCTTCCAGAGCTGAGATATCGAAACTCAAAAATTCGACCCAAAAAAAAAACGACAGTGGTACCCCTTTCGTTTTTTTTGGGGGGGCGAAAAATAAGTTTCTCCAATCTTCTCAAAACTCTGGATTCTGATAGAGGGCCATGAGACTTAAACCTGAGTGCAAAAATGGAGGCTCTAGACCCTTCCAGAGCTGAGATATCGAAACTCAAAAATTCGACCCAAAAAAAAAACGACAGTGGTACCCCTTTCGTTTTTTTGGGGGGGCCGAAAAACGAAGTTTCTCCAATCTTCTCAAAACTCTGGATTCTGATAGAGGGCCATGAGACTTAAACCTGAGTGCAAAAATGGAGGCTCTAGACCCTTCCAGAGCTGAGATATCGAAACTCAAAAATTCGACCCAAAAAAAAACGACAGTGGTACCCCTTTCGTTTTTTTTTTTTGGGGCGAAAAATGAAGTTTCTCCAATCTTCTCAAAACTCTGGATTCTGATAGAGGGCCATGAGACTTAAACCTGAGTGCAAAAATGGAGGCTCTAGACCCTTCCAGAGCTGAGATATCGAAACTCAAAATATTCGACCCAAAAAAAAACGACAGTGTTACCCCTTTCGGTTTTTTTTGGGGGGGCGGAAAAATGAAGTTTCTCCAATCTTCTCAAAACTCTGGATTCTGATAGAGGGCCATGAGACTTAAACCTGAGTGCAAAAATGGAGGCTCTAGACCCTTCCAGAGCTGAGATATCGAAACTCAAAAATTCAACCCAAAAAAAAACGACAGTGGTACCCCTTTCGTTTTTTTTTGGGGGGGCGAAAAATGAAGTTTCTCCAATCTTCTCAAAACTCTGGATTCTGATAGAGGGCCATGAGACTTAAACCTGAGTGCAAAAATGGAGCCTCTAGACCCTTCCAGAGCTGAGATAATCAAAACTCAAATATTCAACCCAAAAAAAACCCCGACAGTGGTACCCCTTTCGTTTTTTTGGGGGGGGGCGAAAAATGAAGTTTCTCCAATCTTCTCAAAACTCTGGATTCTGATAGAGGGCCATGAGACTTAAACCTGAGTGCAAAAATGGAGTCTCTAGACCCTTCCTGAGCTGAGATATTGAGATCCCACGTTGCATTTATGCCATTATAAAAATAGTGGGATATTGGACAAATAGGGGTTTTTGGACACGTGGTTTTTAAGCTTGGCTTTCAAAATTTTGGGATGAAAACCATTTTACTGCACTCACGGAGGCCCCCTGAGTCTGTGGCACCAAGGGCCGTCCTGAAATTCCACCGTCTGTGAACCCACTATTTTTATCATGGGATAAGTGCTACGTGGGATCTCAATATCTCAGCTCTGGAAGGGTCTAGAGACTCCATTTTTGCACTCAGGTCTAAGTCCCATGGCCCTCTATCAGAATCCAGAGTTTCAAGAAGATTGGAGAAACTCAAAATTTCGACCCAAAAAAAAAAAAAAACGACAGTGGTCGTTTATGGTGCGAAAAAATACGTTTCTTCTTGATTCTAGTTGAGAACGTTCTAAAGGCGTGCAATTATTTTCAGGGAAAAGCACGGCTAAAGTAGTTTCAGGCAGGTTTGACCGCATTACAGTTCCATATCACTGCGCATAATTAACTTTAATAACGGAAAATAGGATAAAAAAAAACCACGCAGCCCCATGCACTTGATTTTCGATGACTAACTTATCAGAATCAAGCATTCAACAGCCATGTAGTATAACGGGGATTAACTGACCACAGAATGTTGCAATTGACCAATCAGAAGAAGACTCCAGAGAGCCATGCAATGTAAATTATTAGACGAGAATTATAAGCCAAGTATCTTTCCTCTTTCAGACTGCTGTGATTTGACATTAGACTTAAACACCGCCAACTATTTCCTCCGTCTTTCTGGAGATCACACAGAGGTCATGGCAGTCCCGGAGCCTCAGCCGTACCCCGATCACCCCGAGCGCTTCAGCAGCTGGGCTCAGGTCCTGTGCACTGAAGCTCTGTCTGGATGCGGATACTGGGAGGTGGAGTGGGGCGGTGCTGGAGGAGCTTCTATTGGAGTTTCCTACAAATCAATTCCCAGGACTGGAGGGACTATGGACCGAAAACTGGGATGCAACTCAAAATCGTGGAGTTTAGATTTCTCCGATTCTCTTTGTTTGTTCCGGCACAGTGAGTTTAGTGTAGAAATACACACTCCAACGCCACACAGAGTCGGCGTTTATCTCGATTGTGGTGCTGGAACTCTTGCGTTTTATAGCGTTTCTCTGGCAGACGATACCATGTTTTTGCTGCATCGAGAGCAGACTGTGTTTGCCCAACCTCTCTACCCTGGTTTCTGGGTTGGACTGGGGTCCACTTTGAAACTCTGTCGAACTTTCAGCTTCTCAACTTAGTAATTCATTCTGTGCACTCATTTTGTTTAAAAGGCAGTTCATCCAGAAATCAAAAGCATGTCATTGTTCACTCACCTTCATGTTGTTTGTTTTCTTCCAGTAGCTTGTTATTGTAAAACCGCCCATGCAACCGTTATGAAAAGGAGCACTCTGACCACAACATATCTTTGTTACATTTTTCATTTTTGGGTGAACTTGTCCTTTAAATAAAGAATAATAGTTAAAATATAAAGAATGCATATAATGGAAACTTGTAAAACCGGGACAGGAATAAACAGCATACAAATAAAGAGTCAATGCAGTGAGTTTGTGCACGTGGCTGAACAGTTTATTGGAAACCGTGTGATACAAAAGCAGCATAACCCAGTGTGAGGTGGTTCTCCGTGGTGAGAGGCTCAGATCTTGTTGAAGGCAGCAATATCGACACTCTGGACCTACAACAAAATGAGGAATCAATGTAGTTTTGGTCAATAAAACTTTTTAAAAACATTTTAGAAATCTTATCAGAGTAAAAATGTCACAAACATCTCCGTTCATATTTCACCCAAACATTTTACAAACAATTTACTGTTTTACTTTAAAATGTATATTGTAAATAATTGAAGAGCAGCATGTTTTTTTGTCATCGTCATAAATATGTACTGATACCCACAGCATGCATGCATGCATATATATATATATATTTATATATAATATTTCATAATTTTTTTTAATAAAACTTATTTCTATTTTCATTACAATTAAAATTAGTTTGTCCTCCAATTTTCCTGAATTATTTTATTAAAATTACTTTAATGCAAAATACACAAATTTGCAAATTGTTTTTACAGAAATATAACATCATGATGTTCCGCTGCAATGTATTCCGCTGCAAGTCACAAAATTAAAAAAAAAATATATATATATTTTGCTTTTAAAAATATAATGCATAAGCTTATTAAGACTAAAATATGTTTTTTTTGTCATTGTGATAAATATGCAATAAATGTATACATTTAATTTCATATTTATATAATAAAGCAATTTACTTGAATGATAATTACGTACATTTTTCTTTACAACTTTTCCTTTTATTAATTTCTATAAAGCAATAAATACATGCATAAAAATTGGTTTACTGATTTTATGACAAATCCCTTTTTTTTCAATTAATTGTATAATATATAATGCATAAATTAAGACTATTAGTCTAATATGGTTCTTGTCAATGTGATGTTTTTTCAGTATATTATAAATTATATAGTTATTTTCATGAATATCAAGTTAATGTTTTCCTCCATTTTATAAAAAATACTGTAATGCAATAATTATACAAACACATTTGTAAAATACACATCATTATAATATAATCAGTATTATTCTACAGCATATAAAACAATTACTATAATAAAGTAAAAATGCTAAAGTACAATATTTGGACACGTTACAGTAATGGAAAATGGATGAGAAAAAAAAAATTATATATATACATGTTTAATAGAAAATAAGTGACCACAATTTTTTTTTTATAATCACGATTCAACCAAAAACATTGTGTACTTACGTAGTCCTCGTATTTGGTGATCTCCTCTTCCAAAATGTCTGTTCCTACTTTATCGTCTTCTACCACACAGTTGATCTGCAGCTTTTTGATGCCGTAGCCGACAGGAACCAGCTTCGAAGCTCCCCACAGGAGCCCGTCCATCTGTATGGAGCGCACACACCCTTCCAGCTTGGACATATCGGTCTCATCGTCCCACTGATCAATGAAAGAAACATGATATACTCAAACAAATTAAGCTTGATAGGTTTAAAGACTGTGTGTGCTGAAGGTCTCGTACAGGTTTGACGTCCAGCAGGATGGATGATTTGGCGATGAGGGCTGGTTTTTTGGCTTTCCTCTGGGAGTACTCCTTCACCCTCTCTGCTTTGATGCGCTCAGCCTCCTCATCTTCCTCATCACTGCCAAACAGGTCAATGTCGTCATCATCATCATCAGCAGCGCCGTTATGTTTCTCAACCTTGGGCGTCTGGACAGGAGCAGCCTTCAGATAAAACAATACACATGGTGTGTGAAGTATTACGGTTGTATTTGCTTAATGCACAAAGGCGGCCTGGTTATTATTGACTTCAAGATGGCAGTATCTCACAAGTACCTTGGTGACGGTAACAGACTTTGAAGCTGGGGATTGGCCTTTCTCCAGTATGGCCATTCTGGACTCCAGTTTGGACAGCGTGGCTCTTAGATCATCCACCACTGATAAACCAAACACACCATTAATGTCACGCTGATCACAATATGCTCAAACTGTGTCAATCTGTTCCCAACCCTAGTGTATGGCGTGTGTGTCCAAGCCCTAGTTACAAAATAGGCTTTTTATGTTGATCTTAGTGGGTAGGAAAGCCGATTGTGCATTTATGGACATTCCCACATTGCATCGCTAACAATCACTGTGTCTTGACTTCAAGTAACTCCAAATCGCTGTTGTGCACGAACAGCATTCAACAGCCTTCAGGTCAAGGAACTAGAAATTGCTTGCTAGGTTTTGGATCAGCCTTTTCTCATATGTACCTTTGTGCAGATTCTTGTTGTCCAGTTCTAGACTCTTGAAACGAGAGACCAGCTCACTCTGATCCTCAGGCTTACTGGCATTCTGACTCTGCAAATCAGATGGAGGAGAAATGAACATTAGTGAATTACATCTCGTAAAGAGCTGACTGTTAAAATCACACCATGCAGGGCTGCGACTGACATGCCCAACAACAGGGTTGGCAACCAATTAAAAACCACAGGAAACCAGATATGCATTTATAGCAGGATTTCATGTTTGAAACATTGAAATAAAAATAAAAAATCCACTTGATTTGCATGCGATTTACTTTGGTGAACGCTAAATCTTTAAACCGATGCATGAAAACACAGTCATGCATGACATTTGTGCTCTTAAAGGATTAGTTCACTTTTAAAAAAAACTTTTGCTGATAATTCACTCATCCAAGATGTCCATGTATTTCTTTCTTCAGTCGAAAAGAAATTAAGGTTTTTGATGAAAACATTCCAGGATTTTCTCCATATAATGGACTTCAATGGGAACCAAACGGTTCAAGGTCCAAATGAGAGTTTCAGTGCAGCATCAAAGGGCTTTAAACAATTCCAGACGATGAATAAGGGTCTTATCTAGAGAAACGATCAGTCATTTAAAAAATAAATAAAAAAAAGTTTAAGTTTTATAAGCACAAATGCTCGCCTTGCTCTGTTCTGTTCTTGCACGTTCGTGACTCTCCTGTTCAAACTCGTTCATTAAAATGAACAAAACTTTTTTCGAGTCATGACTCGAAGGGTCCTAGATAAGACCCTTATTCATCGTCTGGTGTTTAAAGCTGCACTGAAACTCTCATTTGGACCCTGAACCGTTTGGTTCCCAATGAAGTCCATTATATGGAGAAAATCCTGTAATGTTTTCATCAAAAACCTTAATTTCTTTTCGACTGAAGAAAGAAAGGCATGGACATTTCGGATGACATGGGGGTCAGTAAATTATCAGCAAAAAGTGAACTACTCCTTTAATGTGTAGAAAAACCCATAAAAACACTAGTCACACAGTAAACAGACTGTTTAGATGAGTCAAGCAGAGATGTGTGTATGATCCACGCTGCTCCAGGCTCCGTTCACATGCTTTTCACACAGATGAGCAACTAAACCGGCCCAGAGCACTTACGGTCTTCCTCTCCCGCGGTTTTTGAGAGCGTGTGTGCCCTTTACTAGCCTGTAGAGAAGTCTTCACCTGAGAGATTCACATTTAACCACCACAACCAGAAAACAAATCAGAAGAGAGACAGATAAACTGCTGTAACAGAAACTGAGTTTTACTCTATTCAAATTCAAAGAAAGACAGACTTCAGAGGAGTATGGAAACTTGTTTCCACCAGGGAATAAAACAATTTAAAAGATAATTGTTTCTTTCTTTCTCTCACAATTATGATGTTTTTCCCCTCAAAATAAACTTGCATTTGCGAGCTATAAAGTCAGAAACTTGAATTTTTGGCTGCTTTCTTTTCTCAGAATTGTTATAAACAATTCTGAGGGGAAAAGACTGACTTTATTCTAAACTTTGTTATAAACAATTCTGTCAGAATTGTTATAAACTATAAATTCAATTGTATATACTGTAAATTCAATATAAATGTATACAATGTATACAATTGTATATAAATGTATACAATTCAATATAAATTCAATTGTTGTAAACAATTCTGAGGGGAAAAGACTGACTTTATTCTCAGAATTGCGAATTTATCTTTCACAATTCTGACTTTATAACACGCAATTCTAGAAAAAAGATTTTTTTTTTATTCGGTGGAGGAAACAAGCTTTCATAGAAGAGATGCGTGCATTAAATGTTTATTGACATTCAGTTTTTGCTTCACTTAAAAAGGGTATTGTGACATGATTTCTTTTTATAACAAGTTTCTTGGGGTTCACTTATAATGTTAATAAAGTTTACTTGCACAAAAATAATGGTTTTAAGGGGAGGCTCCTTTAAGGCTTGTCAGTAAATAGCCACATTTGATTGGCTACGGTAATTTTAAAGGAAACAGTAATAACCAACGCTATCTCACGAACAATTCGTACGAGTGATTAAAAAGTGGCTAATTCGTACTAATTCATACGATTTGTCTAAACTCAAGTGATGGGTAGGTTTAGGGGCGGGGCCAGGTGTAAGTCATTCGTACGAATTCGTACGAATTGGCCAACGTGTAAAATATGGAAGATTTTTGCTAAATACGAGTGAGGTCGTATGAATTGTAACGAATTAAAAATTTGTACGAATTGCCATGATATCAGGTTGTAATAACACCCATTCGCTATTCTCGCAGAGTTTGTCTGAAACTGAATGCGCGTTTGTATGCAGTGTAATCAGCGATTGTAATGGGTTAAGCAACTGAACACCGTGGGAGGAGCCTATGATGCGATGATGTATAATTATATATGCAATTATATATGAATATATGCAAATATATTCACCCACAAGATGTCGCAATCCCACAATATCCAAACAAG